TGATTTTGGCCTATTTAGATGATTTCATTGCTGCCATGTCGGATCCTCAGCGGCTCACCCAATGGTCCAGTTTGGTCCGCCGGGTTTTCGCCACTCTTGGCCTCGCTTTTAAGGAGTCCAAGTGTCAGTGGGAGCCGGTCCAATGCAAGAAGCATCTGGGGATCATGATCGACACCAATCAGTGCCAATTTCAGGTCCCTCCGGACAAGGTTGCGGCCATTTCGCGGCGGGCCCAGGAGATTAGTCGACGGGGTTTCATTGTTGCTCGGGATCTGGCCAAGTTCTGTGGCTCCGCCATTTCCTTGTACTTGGCCTTTCCATTGGCACGGTTTTTTTTGACGGATCTATACTCTCTTTTGCGCGGCAAACGTTCTTGGCAAGATCGGCTCTGTTTGACCGCCGCGGCTCGTTTGGAGTTGGCCGCCTGGGCCCAGATCGGTCGGTTGGCGGGCAGGTCGCTCAATTCCGCCTCCTTAGAGCTGGTGGGCACCTTAGCTACGGACGCCAGCCTCACCGGCTGGGGGGCCACTTTTACGCCTCTGGGCGGTGATCAACCCCTTCTTGCTCGCGGATTCTTTGATCGAGAGCTCATTCACATCAATGTCCGTGAAATGCAGGCCGTATACTTGGCCCTGCTGTCTTTCTTTCCTCGCCGGTGCCCCAGGACCGCTTCTCGCCGGCTTCGGTTGCTCGTGGACAACCAGGTGGTTCTCCACTGCCTCAACTCGATGACTACCAAGTCAGCCGGTCTCTTGAGGCCCCTTCGCCAGTTGCAAGCTATTTGTGCGACGCGGAAGTTGCTCCTGGAGCCCGAGTACATTCGGTCAGCGGACAATGTCCTTCCGGACAGGCTTTCGCGTATACGGACTTCGGAGGACTACCGGCTCAATCCGCGCATATTCCAGGAGGTCGTCCACCGCTTCGGGGCCTGTTCAGTGGACCGATTTGCATCCGCTCGGAATGCCCTCTGCGCGGCCTACAACAGTCAACATTGGGATGTGGGTACGTCGGGCGTCGACGCCTTCGCACAGAACTGGACGGGGACGCGCAGCTGGTGCAATCCCCCGTGGAGCCTCCTCGCGAGGCTTGTCGCCTTCCTCGCCTCGAGGCCGCAACTGGATGCAGTGGTGCTCGCGCCGGACTGGCCGAGCGCGGTTTGGTTTCCCCGCCTCCGGGCAATGGCGCAGGCCGAGATCTTCATCCCCCGCCAGCCCAACCTCTTTCTCCCCGGGGATCCGAGCCTCCCGTCCTCCCTTCCACCTCCGCGCTGGAATTTGCGCGCCTTCCATGTGGCGCCGAGGACGCACCCGACGACCCTGCGGACCCCACCGGCGATGACGCTCTGAGCGAACCGGACGCTCCGGCGCCTCCCGCCGGAGAGCCTCCTTCGGATCCTTTCCCCTTGGAGCCGGTCCCCGAGGACCATCCGCTGTACGGCACCGAAGTGGATGGCTTGCTGGCGACGATCGGAGCTGGATGGCACAACAGTTTCTTGCCTCCTATACGGAGGCCACCCGGCGGACTATGCAGGCCAAGTTCCTGCGTTTCCAGGCCTTTTGCGAGGCCCATGCCTTGCAGCCGCTGCCCGCTCGTCGCGCCACCATCTACCGCTACATTCGGTTCCTACGTGAGGAAGGCAAGGTGGGCGTTCGTTCTTTGCCGCAGTATCTCGCGGCCATCTCCATGGTGCACCATATGTCTGGGCACCTTGGCTTTTCTGCTTTCGACCCGGTCACCCGTGTCCTCACCCGCGCATGGCGCCGGGATACGCCAGCCCCCGTGCAACATCACCGCCCTGTGCCCATCGAGGTGATGATTCGCATCCTCGACGTGGGATTGACCACGGAGGACGGAGCCTTCCTTCGGGCGGCGTGCGCGGCGTACATCGACTACATCTTTTTCAACCGGGCGCAATCGGGCCACTTCGTTCTCGCGGAGGACATTCGGATAGCTGACGGGGTCGTTTTATTTCGGGAACGCAAATCCAAGCTGCACAAGGATGCGGCCCCTCGATTGCGTTTTCGGTCCTGGCCGACCCAAGGCGCCCCGGAGGTCGTGGATCTCCTTCTTCGATGGATGGCTTTCCGCGACCGCGCCTGGGCCCAGATGGACCAAGCGCCTCGCCATTTCTACCGCCTTCCGGGCGAGGCGTCCCCCAGCTCCAAGACGGTGGCCGCTTGGTTTTCGGACTTGCTGGCCAAGCACCCGACCATCGCTCGAGAACCTTTCACGCACCATGGCCTCCGCGGCGGCGGTGCGTCTAGCTGCTTCGCTTTGGAGGTCGCCGAGCGGCGCATTCGGGACTGGGGTGGCTGGGAGTCAGACTCCATGTGGTCGTACGTGGACATTTTTCGTTTACCCACTGAGTGGGACTTTCGTTTGTTCGGGTGGATGACGATCACCGCCCGCGACCTCCACGCCCAGTTTGGGCACATTTTCTGCCCCGGAGGTGCCTCCCGTGCCCTTGGAGAGTGAATGGGCAAACTGTTAAGTACGGGGACCTCGGGTATGTGGAGTTGTTGGTGATGGACACCTTTGTTGTAATGTGTTGTCGTGTGGGGAACATGACCGGGTGGGTTCAGGAGACCGGTCAGGTGGAAATGACATTAACTATCCTGTTAATAGATTTCCACCCAGGACGACGTTGGGTGGGTTGTGCCGAGTTTCGAATCAGGCGCAATCGTATTCAAACGGGTTTCTGGCCCTTCCTAGTACCTTGGGTCAGTCAAAGTACGGAGTGTCCAAGGGTCCGCCCGTTTTGGCGGCTTGGACTTGGCGGGCTTTGGCGGGGCTGAGCGGGGGCGGCTATTTAGGCTCTCCCCTCGGTCCCCCTCCTATCTTGTTTCGCACCCAGCCCTCCCGCCCTCGAGAGTGGAGTTCGGTTGAGTTGAGGGAGATAACGGGAAGGAGTGGATGACAGAACGGGGAAGGGGTGACTCAGGGTTGCTGTCACGGGAGAAACGTGAAGTAAAGTAAGGGCGAAGCGAAAGGGTAAACTGTTAAATACGGGGACCTCGGGTATGTGGAGTTGTTGGTGATGGACACCTTTGTTGTAATGTGTTGTCGTGTGGGGAACATGACCGGGTGGGTTCAGGAGACCGGTCAGGTGGAAACAATTGAGCGTGTTTGGCAAGTGCTAAACCACGAGAGGGATGCTGCACTCCGCCACCATGGCAACAACAACTTCGGTTTGGCACGCCTAGGGCGGGAACGACCCCAAACCACGGGGATTTGTGACGGGCGCCGAATCAAAATACACAATTTTGGGCCAAATCTTACGCAATTTCAGGGGGCCATCAAAGGTAGTGGGGATGAGTGTTTGTTTTACAAAAATTGGTAGTCAAGGGTTTTGGGACCCGATATTTTCGATTCTGACCTTTTTTGGTACTTTTGAAGCGGTTTAGGTAACGAAATTCATCTTTTAAATAGAGGACAATTATCTTGGATGGAGGAAGTATTAATTTATAGCTATCGAGGCTTGCCTATCAAAGCTTTAAAAGTGCCAGTTTCCAGACCATCAAAATTTGTACAACTCTGACCGTTTTCTCTCCTGAAATTCATCCAGAAGCTTTACAATGCCGTTAGGTAATGTTCTTGAGTCATCCTAGTATCGACAAAAAAATTGACGTCAAGGAGGGGTAGGGCTTGGGGGATGGACGAGTCTGAGCTTAATGTCAAATTGATGCTACGCACACCAAAATCGACATGGTGCCTTCCATTGGACAATCACGGAATTCCGTGAATTCAGAGAGGGAATTCCCTTTCTCCTGCCAACAGATTGTTTGTTCGCATCACTGGGATACTCATCGCCCACAAACACCCGATTCAGCAGTTCACTCGTATGCCAACTCAACACCCAAATAATCTGACGTACAAAGCATGTCAGAGATTCCTTTTCATTCAGGAACCAATCAGGGGCATGGCGTGGTAGAATGCGCACTCTCCATCACCGCAGAAAACGGAATGATGAGGTGAAACGAGATGTACAGAACTTGCTACAGGGCTGTATTTTGTGGCCTCTGTTATCGCCTGAGTTTTGGGCCCCAATTGTCGTGGCCGACCACCAGTCCTGAACTTATATTTGTTCCAGGGCGGTGCGCGAGGGAACCATGGTATTGTTCAAATATGACGAAGTTCTTTTCGGTGACATTCCACGCGCGGTCGGCTTTGCAGGTCTCCAAGCGACCAGTTTTCCCGCAACCCCACCCATTCTGTAGGATTTCCTGCATGATGCAGCAGCATTGACATTCCTGGAGGACTGGTTGCCCCTAAGCAAGGTTACATCTGGGTGGAATGGAAGGTGTCGGAAGTCTCCACTCTCTCCATTCCACGCTCTAGGGGTTTCCACTTGACTGCCAGGGTGAGCGCCCTTTCCCGCATGACCAACGGTCTACGCAAATTCATATGCACAGCTCACACTCAACCTCACAAGTGATCGCAACAACAATGCCTCCCTTTCTCTCCCCCCCACACAAGAAAAAGGAAAAAACACGAAGTGCAAGATAGAATACTCCAAACAACTCAGGGCAAAGACGCCGAGCTCGGAGCTGGACTGACACTGGTCAATCTCAAAACGCATTGGCATTAGATGCTAGCCAATCTTGGACGCATGGTGGTGCGCCCAGACGCACAGATTAGACTGAAGAGTGCGTGAAGGCCACGTCAATCCCGGGGAGCTGGCAGGTTCCTACCTGCTGACCACCACCCGGAACATCTTCTTCCCAAACATCATTTTAGATTGCCGATAAAACACCACTACCAGTACAATTCAGCGCACTTGCAACATCAAAGCATGGACACCAATTTCGCCATCCCTGTGGCTTCGACACGTCCGTGCACTCGATCAAGCATGGCCATTTGGCACAGTTCCAATCCTTTATTATGTCATCTCAAGTTGCGACAACTATGGTAGTGCTGCATGTCCAGACGTGACCACAACGCCGCAACGATGAATCCCGACTTTCAACGTTGGCAAACCCTTTGGATCATCCTTCAAATGATCATCTCCCATGGGCCAACAGTTCCTCTATGCATACAATCTTCTTTATGAGATCCCCGGCGCTGGGGCGCTTGGAAGGTGTGCCAGCCCAGCAGCTTTGTATGAGTTTCTTCACTTTGCGCATGCATGTGCTCCCATTGAATATGGACTCAGGGAAAGGTGGCCGGAGGCCATTCGCCGCTCCATATAGTATGAAATATGAGTGGATGCCGCCCCAGGGGTAGTCGCCAGTCAGGCATTCCCACAGTATGACACCGACGGCGTATATGTCCATCTTCTCGTCCACCTTGCCCCCAATGGCCTCAGGTCCTGTATAACAAATTCACGACACATTTAATGACAAGTTGTTGGGCAGTTACTGCCAACTGATGAGCATCCAGGTTTGCTGCCTGACCTGAGGTGGTATGGTAGTGAACACCAAAACACATGAACAGAATTTTTTGGACTGCCAGAGAAGTACCTTTGCACATAGAACAAACTGTTGTTAGGCCCAAGATGAAGTCAACCATCAGTGATTTTTCGAATTTTATGCTTCTTTGGACTCCCGGGATACCAAGTGGACGTATGAAGTGTTTTCAGATGCAAAACCTCTGATAAAGAAGGCGCAATTTCCAATGCAGTCATTTGCAAAGTGGGCAGTTGGCCACATTTGTAACAAGCGGGGACGACCAGTCCTCCAGTTTGCATTTTTGCTTCAAGACCCACAAACCTACTGTACGCAACCAATTTCAATCGTCGATCAGATTTCCTGATCACGCTGTTGATTTTCATGACATTCATTCGCCAATTTCATCTTGGGATCAGATGCAACAATCGCTTCGAGCTGTAAGGACGTGGGAAATTCTTTCAGGATTTCATTCGACAATCCCCATTTTAGTTCATTGCCCAGCCAAGTGAGAGCAGTGCAATCACAGGAAACAGGAGTCAATAGAAACGTCATTTCAGATAATGCTCTTGTAGAGGAACAGATTCACAGAACCCATGTCTTTCTGTTGCTTCAGTCCTTGGCAAATGAACAAAAGCAATGTTGCAAGCAGTCCCAAAAGCAGCACGCTGGCAACATCTCGGGTCACATTTATGTTTGAATGGTCTGGGCCCATGCTCAGTCGAACGCCTCTTCCAGGGCACAATTTTCAACACTTTCAATGGTGGGAATGCATGGTTTGAATAACAGGACGGACATTATGCCCGCAGGGCAGTTTTTGCCCGCGATAGATTCGGGCCCCACCAAGGTATGCAGGCGTCCCTGCACAGGCGTTCCTGGTGCTCAAGTACGTCCTGTGCTTAGAGCGTGAGATACCGAAGTCTGCAACCTTCGCCTGGTCATGGACATCCAACAGAATGTTCCCTGGCTTCAAGTCTCTGTGCACAACCTTGGGCGTCAAGTGGTGCAGGTGGTGCAGCCCCTTTGCCACATCCTTGACAATGCTGAGAGCAAGCGGCAGGGGAAGGGCCATGGATCCTGCTGGGTTGGAGTGGTGGATGCGCTCAGCGAGGCTGCAGTGCATCAGCTCTGAGACCAGGAACACCTTGGGGGGTTGGAAGGAGCCGCCATAGCACCTCACCACATTGGGGTGCCCTCCCACCTTCTCCAACACAGTCAGCTCCTTCTGTAACGTTTCCACAAAGTCATTCCCACCATCTCCGCCACTAAACATAGCCGGCGACTCTTTGACAGCAACCAGGTGACCTTTGTACAGTGCGCTGTACACCACCCCGAACGACCCCCGCCCAATCTCCTTTTTCAACTCAATATCCGAGTAACACATGCTGAAACTAAAAAAGTCAGGGTCACCAAACTCGGGCTGTTGGCCATCTCTCAACTCACGTTTGTCAACCACCTCCATCCAGCCATCCTCTGCTTCCAAAGACTCCACTGGAGCCTCCCAATGGTAACAGGGCCAATCATGCAAGCACTGCCTCTTCCTGGATTTCAGCTTTAGTCGTTGAAGCATGGCAGCAATGCGGCCCGTGCTATCTCTGGTGTCCTGGCCACTGCTCTGTGCTGGGGAACCTGGACAACTGCTCTTTCTGCAGGACAATCTCCATCTGTTGGTCTGCCCGGTGTCTCCTTGGGGTGGCTCCTGAGGCAAAGAGATGTTAAATGGGGCTGGCGCATGGGAAGAAGACCCAGAGCTGGCTTCTACAGAGCAGGATGTTTCCTGACTGTCTTGATCGTCATCATAGTGGCTGAAGGGGCACTCGTGGTCTGGGTCGAACAGCCCAGGGCAAGAGCCTGGGCGCCAATCGACCATTCTGGCAGTGTCCCTTGCCTGGGGCCTGCTGCCCAAGAGGTCCTGGTCGTATTGGATGCCTGGCAGGCGCAGGGGAATCAGGTAGATGGCGATGGAAACCATTCAGTGCACCACAGAACAGTCAGCACAAGACACAAAGCCTCTGCCAGGCAACTTCTCTGTCCATATTTAGCTGTGGTCTGCTCAGATGGGCGATTCAGGACTGAAGCGACATATATCATGCTTTGTCTTTGCTTCTTGCCTATTCTGTGACAACAGGGGACAGAAGCTACAGCATTTGTTCTTCCATTCTTTGCGTTGCTACCCATATGCACAGTTCTCTTGTTACTGAAACGACAACAGTTTCAGACTCTCATGCGAATGGTCAAAACGAATCTGGATGTGCTTCCATGCACTCTTCTGCACAAATCGTGATGTGAATGGTAGTTTGTGCGTAACTCCTTGCCTGGTGGAACAAGAGTCTTGCAAGTAAGTGCTTGGGAAGATGAAAGGAGGTATCATTCTGTGGCATGGTTTCTTTGGTCGATGAACCTCGCTTGCGCCCAAGAACACAGGGTTATTCTGCATCTGTTTGGCGCTTGCTCACCGTCATCGCTGCCTGGAGAGTCGTTGCAGATCCCCTGCTGGCAAATATCCAGGCTAAAGGGTCCATTCCAAGTTGCGCCTGCTTCAGCTGCAATACGACCACAACACGGCGCGATTCAAACCCCAGTTCATGCAGCGACTACGGAAGAGAAAAAGCCGTGCAAGGGCATCCGTTGCCAACAGCAAGTCAAAGCTCTTCTTCTCAAGCTATTGCCCCATCAAGACAAGGGTGCACACACAGTTGGTTCGCCAGGCAAATCTGCGGCTTCAGGCACATCCCGCTGTTGTGGCGCTCTGGCCAAGTTCTTCTCCCGCTTAGTCAGTGTAAGGAGTAAGTGTGGTTCAAGGAAGAGTGCGAAATCGCCAGAAGGGTAAGCAGGACAGCAGCACAATGGAGAGTGGGCGGTTCCATTAGAAGGCGCCGCGCACAAACTAGAGCGCCGATTCGACCTTTAGGAGGCGCATGTTGAAGCCGGCAGCAGACGACAACGCAGCAGCCGTGCGCGTACAGCAGCAGGGGAAGGTGGATCAAGGGAACAACGGGGATCCCGTTCCCCGTCGGAGAGTTGCCACAGGATTGTGCCTGTGAAGGCTTCCACAGCAGTTTCGGAAATAGTCTCCCTCAGGCACGCTCCGGTGCGCACAACAGAGAACACACCTGCGCGAAGGCCAGCGTTTTCTGCGACGACGGGGAGCAGGTCGCCGCCCTTGGCGCCCCGTGTTTCGACAGAGCATGGCCCACACCGCGGCGCCGATCCGGATTTCGCCATACGCCGACTATTGTCGCTCAATTTCAGCCACGGCAAGCTTCCCAGCTGCGCTTCGCCTGCGCATTCGATCACGACAGCGCAGGCCGACGCCCCAAACAGGCTCGACGACGGCCGGGCCCGACCACCTTCACATCAGCTTCGCCGGCAACTGCGGGCGTGCTCGAGACCGGGCGGACCGCGAGCCGCCCTTGCGTGGCCAAAATATTTCCTTGCCGCTAGCCGCCGCCCCACAAACGCACAACTGCCCCAAAACGCGCCGCAGAAAGCGAGTTCGTTTTCGGGTGGAGCCACAGTTACGCGGCCGGCCCCCCTCCCAAAACCCTGCGCGGGACAGCGACGCCAATGAGGGAGCTCTCGCCTGACAGCCGCCGCGCCAGGTCCGCTGCCGTCCGGTGCGCCAGCGCCGCGTGCTGCGGAGGGGCCTGTGGCGCGCGCGCCTCCTTGTCTTCCGCAGCCATGGCGGCAGAAGATGCAGTCCAGCCAGAGGACAGGGCAAAGGGGCCCCAAAACAGCTTCCATGCGAATGCGGGTGGTGACTGTGGTCACACTCGGCGCCATTTTCGTGATGTTGTTGTGACTGGGAGTGGTTGTTCTGTACAAAGTCATGACGATGGTGATGAGCGGTATTAACAGCTGGAGGCACAAAGAAGTGATGAGGCGTCAGGAATTGCATTAAGGTCATTGATGAACTGACTGGATATGAGGGACAGAACTCCTGTTCCCCCTTTGATTGGCTGTAAATCGTTGCCGTTGACTCGAGCCTACGGTCCCCGTTCAGGGTTTGTCACTCCCCTATGCTACCTGCCTTCGCCAATGTGACTTCTGTTGCTGATTCGCATTTATCTAATACTTGGACGCCGTGCTTGACCGTGTGCCAATGTGCAGTCGAGTGCCTTGCCAGACTTGGATGTTGTTGGCTTGTTTGCGCCATCTTAATGTTGGAGCTGGCAGATTAGATTTCGCCTGAACGCCGCGTCTGCGCTGATAATGAATCGTCACTCCATGCATCACAGTGCAATTGCCCACAACTCTGTGTTGATCCGTGAAGACGTCATGCACAACAATAACGCACAGGAGCCTCAAACCGCAACATCGACCCGCTGTCGCGTCCGCTAAGCAAGTGCTATATATATTTTCCCTTCCCCACCCTGTTCATTCCGTTGCTGCCCCACCCAGCAGCATGAATATGCTGGGCGGCACAATCCCATGTCAATCCCACACTTCACAAGCACTAGCATAAAATAGCAAGAAATTAGCACCTCTCTCTTTTCCGTGAAGATCCCTTCTTTTTTCGGACACCCTAAGCCCTAAACCACTGACCCACTGACCGGCGTTGGCCTTGTCAGCGGAAGAATACAGGATCCTCACGGAAAAGGCAGAGGGACTAATATATCCTCCTGCGCAATGTGCAGTGCACGGCGCCAAGCGACCAATCGCTGCCCTCTGCGCCACACATCCGCCAATGTGGACTGGACGCTGTTGGCCCACCGGTTCGGATGCCTTCAGGCAGGTCGGCCACCCCCGCTCTCCCCTCCTCGCGCCGCCGTTGGTGGCCCAGTTGACTGCCTCGGTCCCCAGAGAGCCTTCCGTGGCGATCATCCTGACACAATGGCGCAGATGGTCTTCTGCGGTTCGGTCGTCAGCCGGTGCCGATCAACAGTTCCTCGCGGAGCGGCGTGTGGCATGCCGTTGCGGACAGGAGTGGCAAGCCTGGAGCGCTCGGCCTTCTGCGGCGTGGACGTTGCGCCGCGCCCGGTGCAAGCGGTCCATCAGCGGGACATGATGGGCAGGGCGGGATTGGACGTGCAGGTCGTCAGGCGCTGGGCGATGGCTGTGACGGTGACGCTGGCGCGCCCCGCGTGGCGACATCGCTGCACGGCCGCCGAATGGTCGGCGCGGGCCCTGTCGAGGGGACAGACACGTGGATCCAAACGCCGTTTGCCCCGCCGGGATGTCAGCACTGGCGATCGCTTGCTGGTTCAGCATGCCTGATCACACCACCGGGGCGACTGCTCGATATTCAATCAGGGCATTTGTTCATAACCGTGCTCTTACTGAACTCCAACATATCCACTGCGGCCTTCAGTCAAGTAAAGTTAATCAAGAGCATGGCTGCTGTGAATCTTCACCAAGATCTTTGACTTTGATCAGCCATGCGCCCCCTCATTGTGCCTAATTGTGCCCAATTGGCAGTAGGAAAGTTTGTCTATGACGGGCCTATGGGACGGTGAACAGTGCCTCCTTTTGTAGCCTTTGTCTTTTGTAACGGGGAGCAAAACTGCTTTCCAAAAATCTACCAGGGGCAAAATTCTCCCTCTCACCTGTGCTGGAAAATGAGAGGACTGAACACGATGAGTCGTGCTGCTCTTCAATGACATTCATTCGGCATTTTACAACATCCATGATTGGTGGATGGGTACAGTCGCAGCCTCATCGAGTGTACAAATGCAAGCCCCCTCCGACCTCATTTGTCCTAAACAACAGAGCGCAGCCCAGCCACCGGCAAGGTCGACCACGTTGACCAATGTAGGGGCTTCCATGCTTGTGCAGGCATTGTTGTGTCGGAGGCTGGAGTGGTCTCACATGAGTTGCTTTGTGGCGCTTCTGTTAGGCGTTAAGGAAAGGGCAGTCCCTCGCAGATTACCCAGACTGCAACAGGTAAATAGTGTCCCCGCTATCTGCACTGAATATGCCCTTCTTCGATGTTACCCGCTCTATGTGTCTCTTTTCTCTTGCAACGCGTGCTGCAGCAATGGCCAAACATTCCAAATGAATACGAATCGTTCATCCGCTTGTCGCCAATTGTGTGATGCAACTCGACAGGTGGTGGAGGTTGGCAAAAGACCACACACACCACCTAAATGTTCAACTGTAACTGAGAAGGAATTCTAAAGTCTGTAGCATCCCAGGACAATGTTGAACCTGATAGATTCTGTGCTGAAGAAACGGAGGATATGCTTCCATTGCTGCGGGAATGTGAGCTGCTGCTGTTGTGCTGTTGAATGCCAGCCATACCCACATCGGCACTATCTCCTTTCCATCCGAAATGTGATCTCTATGTAGTCATCTCGTGTGTTTTGCTGAGGCCTTATGTTCCCGCCTCATGGTGGCGGCTTCACCATTGCTGTCCGTGTTTCTCACAAACCCGAGGAGTTGCGACATCTCACAATAGTCTTAGGCCAAATTTTCACCAGGCTTCACTGCAGTAAAAATAAAAGAATATGATGTATACGGAGATGGCTTCTGTAAGACTACTTTTCATCAAGTTCAACGTTGTGATTGCCAATTCCAGAAAGCTTAAGAGCACTTCGGGCCGGACGGTCAGCTTGTCCCAATTCAAGAACAGACAACCAGTCGTGCTCTTCTTCTACCCCAAGGCTGGCACACCAGGATGCACCAAACAGGTGACCTTTTGTGCCTCTCTGTATTTTCCATCGCCCTGTTTGTTCACCGAGTTTCTGTAACGAGCTCTTCAATGCACAGCGGCGGTTTGGTGCAGGCCCAAAGTTTTCGCGACGCCTACAAAGAGTTCAAGAAGCTTGGGGTTGCAGTGTTCGGCATCAGCGGCGACGATATGGGCGATCAGAAGGGGTTTGCCAAAAACCTTGGACTACCTTTTCCCCTCCTGGTGGACATAGGCGATGAGCTCCGGCAGGTGACACTTGCCCAAAGTGTCGTCGTTGTTGTTGATCGAATTGTACGTACCATGACGACAAGCGCCAATTTGCTCGTCACAACCCTTTGAAATCTGCATTCCAAAGAATTTGCAAGATATTCATTCAACCCAAGCCTGTGTATATGGGTGATGTCTTGCAGACAGTGGTGCCAAGATAGTGTGTAACGGGGTGTGAGTTTAGCTGCATGTATTATATGACCACATTGGGTGCATTTGCGTCGCAATGAGAGGTGAATGGGAGACGGCTTGTTCGTCTTTTCGCGGATTTGAGAACGTGGGATGAATTTTGTTGTCACTGGGAATCCAACAAGTATCTAGGGCGCGCGACGCCGCATGAGGGATATCGCTGGGCGTGACGCCGTAAGTGGGGTTTCAGGAGAATCCGCGTGTCGGGGGAAGGCGCCGCGCGACCAAATTTAGCCCTTTACCTTGCACTCGCCTTTGCTGAGCTTCCGCTGCCTATTTATCACACGATGGTACAGCGTGTGCCGTTCCTTCGAAATTGACGCCCAAGCAATTCCGCGCCTAGGCAGGACCTCCGGGTCACGGTGACGTTCCGGCTTCAGATTATTAATGAAGCCGTGGCAGAAACTTTGGCACCGTACTCTCCGATGCCCTCGGTCTCGATGGCCCGCGTCAGGAATGGAAACTACTGATATGCTACTAGTATGTGCCAGTGGGAAGAGTTCCGCCTGATCGACTTCTTTGAATTGGACAGGCTCTGGGGGTAAAAGCCGACCTTTTTGGCGCCCTTCCCGGACGCCAAACCTTTGTATTCGACAAGAAAGGGACCTGCGTCTTGTCGTACAACAACCAGCTCCTGGCCGAGTCCCACGTCGGGGAAGCCCTGAAAGCTGTCAAAAAGCTGTAGAACAAGACGGTGCATGTCTACCAACGTTTCCTGATAATTGGCGATCTCTTAAGAGATGCTCAGGAGTTCTTTCCACAATGGCTTCGTCCGTGGCGTCAATGAAGGGATGATGATTGTCTTGGACAAATGCGTTTTCTAGCGGCACAACAGGACCAGTCAGGAACACGTTATCCTGCATCCTTGGACTTGCACGTCAATGGCATTGCATAAAGAGGGCAAAACAAGCCTTTCCGTCTTAATGGCCATGCCAGCCGGGTGTTGTGGCAGCAGGAAGAGGACCACACACTGTTTGGGCAGCTCTCCTCACTGGGATCGCTCTTCCCGGGAAAAGATGTGTATTCTCTTGTCAGGGTCCACGACTACCCGTCGATACTCACGAAGCGACAGGGCAGACGCTGGGAAACGCAGAAAATCATTCTGGTAAAGTCTCTCCGTCAACATCAATAAGAGCAACAAAGCGTTCTGAACAGTGCAAACAGAAACTTCCTCAAACTCCGGCGTAAAGATTCGACCTGTTCCGCTGAATGGCCCGCTAAGCTCAACTTAGCTGGGCAATAAGCTGCCACGCTCAAAACAATTTGAAATCAATAGGGGAATCGGCACCTGTGCGAGAAGATCTGAGAGCACGGTATGAATCCGGCAGATGCCGAAAATTCCAACCGCTCAATGTCAATTTGGGGACTCAGTGCCGACCAAACTAGGTGCAGGCACACAATGCTGCCTCGGGTTGGTCCAGGCCCAGACGCGCAGCCAGCGGTGGTCACAGGCACATCAAGGCCTGTGGCAGGGGCGGCCGTTGCCATTCAAGCCCACAAGCCACCATTGCATGGAAATGCACAACGCAATGGTGCCAACAACACAACTGCCGAACTTCCAACTGCATCGAGAAGTCAATCGGGTTGTGATCACCTTGCCACACACGCAAGCTGACCTTCTTGCAACCTTGAATCCTGGCCCGGTCATGTGTTCCTTGTGCCAGATCGAAACCCATTTCAGGAGTGCCGCTTTCTTGGACCCATCTCGCAGCTGTTCGTCCATCCCAAAGGCAGTCCTCGCCTGTTGTCCGGCAAGCACTCACTGAATGCCTGTGATGCACAGAGAAAAAGTTGTGCACGAAGGGACGGACATTGGGCACTCCTGGGTTCCGTGAATCACATCCACAGCCCACATCCCAGGGAATAGGCTGGTTGACCACAAAAGTTCCCATATTTATCCACTATGCTTGCAGTATCCGAAGCCACAACTCAGCACACGGATATTCCAGGTTCAGAGGATGTTTGAGCCTGTCAGAACGTCACAACTTCAGTGCAGTGAACAACATTCACGAATCGCACAACGTCAGGAGAACTATCGACTCCCAATTGCTGTCATATACCAGTCATATGTGCAGCGATTTGCAAACGGTGCAGCCATGCACGATAACAGAAAGCTGGCGCATCCATGCAATCCAGGTGCACGCTCACCTGCAATTTGATCAATTTTTGTTGCAGGTCCTTCTTTCCTACATTCAGCATCCAGTCTGACCACCATTTAGGATCCCCAGACGGCCCCCAGGCCGTCCTCTTGTTTGAGCCAGGGCTTTTAGGCAACCCAGGGGATGCGCACCGTGGATTGATGTTCACCTTCAAATGAAGGTGTGCATGATTCTGCCACGTCCCATGATTCAGAATCAAGGACTGAAAGTCGGCGAGTCTCAGCTCCTGGAGGAGATCCACTGCTACCTGGGTATGCAAACAGGGCAGGTTCATGTCCACAATGTAAAATCGTGCATGGTCACAAAACCAATGTATCCAGGTACCAAAACACACAATCTGCTGGATCGTGCAAACAAATTTCTGTGTACAAACTTGGGAGCTGGTGACACCCAAGTTTGTACCCATACACAGATGGAGGGCCTATTGGACTTGGCCTGGGGTGGGGGGGTGGAGGGTAGACTGGGAGAGGGAGCAACCCTGGTTTATGTTTCTGAGGGAGAGAGCGACTTTCCTGCAGGTATGGACACTTGGACATGCACACTAATGCTACATTTTGCATGGGTAAATGGCATAACATTCAATTCTCGATGCACTTGCGATGAAGAGCTCATGGATACAGACAGATCGTAAACATTATGAAATAGGTTCCAGGGCAGCATGGGCTTGTCTGCTTTGCTCAAAACACTGACGCTGATAGGATGAGCTTTTATGCCTTTAAGGACACGATGTGCACTTTTGCAACCATGTAAGCGCGTTCCGATGCTATCTTCATAGTGTACATCTTAATCACAGACAACGTTGGAGGAGGGCTGGGGTCCTGTGGCTTTGGGCAAGGGGTCTGGCTTCAATTAACGATTTCTGTGGGAGTTATTGGCCCTCGGCAGGAAATGATACTTTTCACAGGGGCTGTTGGAGTTTTGCTACAACCAGTACCTTGACATTCACCTGTTGATGACCTTGTGATGAACAAGCAAAATAACACAACAATCATGAACTGCTATGAATTCGAATTTAACTGGGTGCTCTGGAGTGCCAGACTTCTCTCCTTTGCGAGTGAGCATTCACTTAGCTCTGGACAACCTTTAGGCTGTACATCCCCTTTAATTTTTCTTGCGGGGCAGCACAGGACCCACCTTCTCAGAAAGGGGGCGCACCTTGACTCTTAAATGGATGTCAAGCATCAAAACAGCAATGCAACATAGAAGACAATGGCCATGCTTGCAGTGGCAACAAACACCATATGCTGTGGACATGTATCAGTCAGATCTGGTTCTGAAACACTGGTTCGTGTACCGATAAATTTTGGCACTGCCACCATGGTTTGTAACCATGGAGGCACAGGAGTTGCAGAGTTATTTATACTCTCCGTCTTTGTCAATTCCAGCAAGCAACAACTAGAACTGCATAGGTTCAGGTTTCCAGCCGTCCAGCAATTTCAACAGACTTTCACTGGAAGTGCACGAGCCTACCAGGAACATGTTCCCAGCTTCTTTGTCAGAGAGCTCTGCCAAACTTCGGACGTGGCGAATAGGTGTCACGATCAGCTTGTCACGGCCCTTGGCGTCCAACCAGCACCGCATCCCATTCTGCTCCTTCACCAGCGAGTCCCTGGAGCAGGGGATTGGATCCTCTGATGGCTTCATCCTCTGCAAGATGGCCAGGGAAAGGAAATCGTAAATGTTCGATCACCATGTCCAAACAAAAAGCATACCAACCCAGAGAGGAAGCCCAGCAGTTGAGTTCCACCATGGTCTCCCAGATCAACACATTGTTGTGCCCCTTCTTGTCCTGAGCCATGCAACACCAAAGGTTGAAAAACTGGTGGCTGCAACCAGGGGACATGGCTCGCTTTGGGCCTCCTGATCATGCCTAATAATTGCCTGTTCACCTTGCTCCCCACCACTTACACCCATCTACCCCAATCCCACGTCCACCCTTCCCAAAATCTGCACCAGAGACTCTAAGTCATCTGTTCACAGCATGGAATCGACATTCCCACACACTTGCGTAGGCGGGGGTGGCCTTTGTTTCTCTTTTGTAGCATGAGAAATCCCAACTCCCACATGTCAACCCCCAAAACAGCCCACAGCCTCGTTGATAGACAGCGTCCCCCGTACGCCGGAGGCCATAACTGGTCGCCTTTTCCAGAGCAGGACAAAGCACTGTCGACCCACGTTTGGTCCCCGCACATTCCTTCCCCCATTTGCCCCCGCAACTCCCCGCCCGAGCTGGCAGGATGAATCCTTGCCCCACCCACCTCCAACTCATCCCCCAGGATCCCGACGCTCAGCGGGCATTCCAGGTCGCAGGACATGCACCTGGCCGCCTTCACGGGGCCCCCGCCGTCCCCTCCGCCCTCCCCCAGCATCACCACCGCCACCCATCCCCTCGCCCTCCTGTCGTTCCGAATCTTCAGATGGTAGTCCTCCAGCCCGGGTGGCAGGCCCCGATCGGCGTCCCCCTCGCGCAGCAGCGCCTCCACGGCGCGGAGGACGCCCACGACGCCGTCCACCCCCCCCCGGACGCTGGCCTGAAAGGATGCGGACTCGGAGCCCACGAAGCACAGCTCGCGGCAGCCGCGGCCCGCCACCGGCGCAACTCGAGGCGCGGGCGATCGCGCAGAGGGGACCGCCAGGAGGGGTGCTTCCGGCCTTGGCGCCTCGCTGGGCTGCGCATCGCATCCCCCCTCCTGCGCGGTTGATGGCGGTGATGCCTGCCTTGGTCACGGAAAGGAAACCGCTCATGTCAGACGATGGGCACGACGATCCCCAGCAAGATTGCAGCAAGGACTGATCCAAAGCCGCGCCGGAGCTTAAGGAAATCTTCGAACGCGGTGGGAGCGGTGCGCGACATGGTGTTGTGCTTTGAGCAGCGGCACACATTGCAGGGCGTGATATGCAATTTGGGGGCCGCGTGATCGCGCCTTTGCGAGGCATTCTGTGTCGCCGCTCGCTGTGCCTGGCCGCCAGCGAGGTTGTCGGCGGAGTTGCCGGCTGGGCGTTCGTCGACGGCCCCCTCGACCCTGCCGCGGTCCCCAACCAGTTGGTCGACGCCACTCGGTTGCGGGGAGGTGGACGCCATTGCTGCTGGTCTACGGGTGGGGTGGGGTGGGGGGGTGGGGGGGGCTTAAGGATCCGGGGAGTGTGGTGCTCAAGAATATGTTAGTCCCTCTTTTCAGTGAGGACCCCTTCTTCTTCCCCTGACAAGGGCAACGCGGGTCAGTAGGTCAGTGGTTCAGGGTTTAGGGTTTCAAAACAAGAAGGGATGTTCACGGAAGAGACAGAGGGACTAATTTCATGCCGTGGTGCTCGGCTGCTGGACGTGGAGGTGCGTCGCTGCGGTGGCATCCATGTGACAGCAAATGCCACCTCCTTGGTCGGGGTCCAACACTGCGGAACCCAACAACCGGCTTCGGGTTCCGCTGAGCCGAACAGTCAAGCCCCGAATGGCAACATTCTGATTGTTGAGTTCCAAGGCGTGATGAATGGCCGTCCGTGAAATTTTGCGATTCGTTTCTAGTTGGGGTAGTCGACAGGGAGGCAAGGAGGTAACTGCCAGTACCCTATTTTGCACGAGAGGAGTAGTGTTCGAGGGTTGTCAAGTTTGTCCGTCCGTCCGTCAGTCACTCAGTCACTCAGTCAATAATTCAGTCAGTCAGTCATTCCATCCATCCGTCCATCCGTCAGCCAATCGGTCAGCGAGGCTGATCCTGATGACCGTGGCATCACGCCATCAAGGCTGGCCACTTGGACGTGCGCGGTGTTGTAGCGTCTGTGAGTGTAAGACGATGTCGGCGGATGTCTGCCGCTGTGTCGGTGTGGTGCGTCCAGGCTGCGTTGACTCGGGGCCAGAACCATCACGGAAGCGTTTGGTAGAATCGGGGCCATTCTGGTGATGATTTCATATTTCCGCTGGGCAGAGCGTTGGAAACGCGACGGGCAGAACGTGAGCTGCCGCGTGAGGAGATGCAGCGGCAAAAGCGGATTCAACGGCGCCTTTCCTGCTCTCTTTCAGCGAAGCTGGTCGTGTGAGAGTGCGGGTGGGGAGGAGAGAGCGGCACACTTGGGCTGGACGTGAAGAGCGCGTAGAAATGGGAGCCGAAATGGGAAATGCCCAAATGGGAGCACTTCCTTTAGAATTTTATTTATGGAGACAATTGATGCGACACTGGATTCGAATGGTGAAACTACCCAATTCTCGGGTCCATGGCGCCATTTTCAAATCCGGGTTTCAACAATTCTCTACCATTCCTCGCTCGTGGTATGGACGGATCATTGCCTTCTTCCATCGATTCTGGCCGGATCTCAGTTTCACGGAGGCTATACCAGTTGACATACAATCCTTCCAACGGATCAACAAACATGTCCACATCGCCACTGTCTTCACCAGCCATTCTTCAAGAATTCAGCGTTGGTACAAGCACATCAAGCCAGTTTACCGATATGAACGATTCCTGTCAACCTTACAACCTATCTCCTTGAGGACTTTCTTCCTACGCTTTCGCTGTGGGGTGCATTTTCTAGAAGTCGAGAATCAACGACACCAAGCGAGACAATCTGTTCCAGAATTTTCAAGGCGATTGTGTCCTTTATGCCACTTGGCGCCTGAAGACGAGATCCATTTTCTCTTCCACTGCGAAGCCTATGACAAGATCCGTCAAAGCCACTCGCATTTTTCGATGTCGCAATGCAAAAGTACTTTTTGCTAAAGTTCCAGCTCGCCAACTTGCAAACACACTTCGTTTGATGTATTACCATCGATTATCACTTCTAGGCATCGAAAGTTCATAGATGATAAATTTAGTTTGCATTTCTCAATAGATTCCAATGAACCAATCACCGACTCTGCTTTGCTCAGGCAAAATAGGAAGCTGACGGCTACCTCATTGCCTTGTTCTGCAAAAAATCATGATGATGATGAGCGCGTTAACGCACACTTAGTGTGCCGTTTGGAGGCATCATCAGGATCAGCACTGGGCATGGGAACGTGCAAGGAGACGCGTGATCGGTTTGGTGGGTGTTGTGCATGTGGTGTGCGCGGACTGAGGGGGTCACAAGCGCGGCCGTCGCGTTTTGGGGTGGGACCGGCGGAATGGCCCCCTGGATGGTCTGAACGCAAGGCCTTTCTTTTTGGAATTCCAATGTATTACATGCTGATTGCAGAGCATTGTCTACCTTTTGTCGGCCACGCGATGAGCACCGCAATTGGCGCTCGTCTGTTCGATGTGCTCTCCCAGGCCCGCGAGCAACCTCGCGCTCAAACTACTGAAGGATCGTCCAATGAGTAAGGTACAAAAGTGCAGGAAAAAACAGCGCGACGGCTTGCTGCGCTGACCGCGGCTTCCCAGCAAGGGCTCAACCGACCATGACGCATTGTTGGGGCTCACCAAGCTGATTGTGCGTCACGTTACAATTGCGTTCTTATTCACAAGCAGGAACAGAAATTTTTCTTCTTGTTGTGCCCCTCCCACCAGCCCCACTAGAGTCGCCTTTTCGCAGCGAGCAATCAGGGATCATGCCTTACAACTTGTGTAGTCTCTCACACACGCGCGCATCCACGCCTTCCAGCATCTTCCTCTAGCTCCTAAGTAGTATAGTTGCAACCAGAGCCAATGTACAAGTCCAAACGCCAGCTAATGATCAATCCGCATATCTCCGCATCTGCAGGGCCCGCAGGGACCCACTTGGTTCGAGCCAGCGGTGGCCTGTGTCATCAAACTCTACATCTATCGTCAACGCTCATTACGTGGCCTTCGAAATCCGTCCATGAAATATGCACACACCCATGCCACCCTCTTTCAAGCCTGCGCTGCGCCACCAGCCACGCACGCTGCCAGCCCACATGCCCACACTCGCCAACTACGACACGGCGTCGTAAACAGCCACATTAAACAATATTCACCCGCCCCAAGAATACCAAAACTGCATTCCGATCTGCCATCGCTGGCTTGCCAACCCCACGTGGCACCACACACACACAAGGACACAGAAACATTCCAACAGGCACTACCGACTTTCTTTCTAGATGACGGCCAAAATTCTATCAGCTGCGTGCCTCTCAGATGGTCGTTGAGTCTCGAATAGAATAGGTTTTCTTGGTCAACATCAAAAAACAGGGCTTCTTTCTTCACAACACGGTGGACGCCTCACACGGCCCTCCCGTGCATGCTCCGCCAAACTCAACGTGCATTTAGTTCTCGCCCTTCACGACAACGAAATCCAGGTCCGCTTCCGTTATTGAAGAAGCGCAGCTTATACCAGAAACCACGAATTCGGGAAACCCTGCGAGCTTTGTTCGCACCATCAGGTACAACCTCGGAAGGCGACGCCAAACCAGATTACCCCACCGACCCGCCAGTGGCACACAGCCCCACACAGCATATTCCAAATCAACAATACGAGATGAGAAAAATTGCCCACACATGCCTCTGCCAGCTCGCAGCTCTCAACTTAGTATGTTACATACCATTCCTTGTGCCGTTGCCAGTCATGGCCACCCCACCACGTGCATGCAGCAAGCTCTCAATCAATGAAATGCACAGAAGTGTTGATTCGCTCTCCGCCCGCAAAGGCCCCCACGATCCGAGGACTCGCCTCCTGGACCGCCGAGGCCCCCTGAATCCCCTTCTCTGCAGTTTACATAGCATCCATTCATTCGCAGCGTCGTCAGCCGTCCAAAACCCAACAGCGCGGCCACGCCCCCACCCCTCAACTCTCCAATCCCAGCCCGCCCTGCACCCCCAGCCAGCAAGGGACCACCCCCGCCCGCCTAGAATGCGCCGGTCTGGATCATCAGCGCCCCGGCCGCAGCCACAGCAGCAGACAGAGCCGTGGCGGCCGCCTGTTGGGTCTCCACGGCGCGGACGCCGTGCTTGCCCACCGAGTTGAGCAGGGTCACCGTCACATTGTTGGGCTCCACGCCTTCAGCCTCCATATATTTGTGGAGCTGCAGGGCGTGGTCGAACCTGCCGCAGCGCTCGCACGCAGCGATCAGAGCATTGTAAACATGCACAGTCAGGTTGATGCCGGCGTGCTGCATTCGCGTCCTCACATGCAGGGCGGACTGCCAGTCGCCAGCCATGCTGTATGCGGCGATCAGTCCGCAGTAGGCATAGTCCCGGGGCTGCATCCGGGCGTCGATCATCTTCTGGAACACGCCCTCGGCCTTGTCAACATCGCCTGCCATTCCGTAGGCGGCGATCACGGTCTCGTAGGTCACAGCATCGGGCTCCGGAACCTCCCGGAACAGCGCCTCCACCACGTCCAGCTGCCCGCTCTTGCCCGCAGCCGATATGGCAGAGTTGTACATCACGGTGTTGGGACGTATGCCCAGCCGCCGTGCGCGCGCCAGGACGTTCACTGCCTCACTCCACTTGCCTGCCTTGCTGTATGCCATCATCAACGCACCACACACCACTTCGTTTATCTTCCCATACCTTGGGCGGTTCGACCCCTTGCGACCATTGTTGCCGTTCGCCTCCTGCCCGTCTCCCACGTTCAGCTGGCCGATCCTCTCCACCAGGCTGGCGACTCCACCGGCAGCAGCGCCGCCGGTCTGGTGGCTGCACCGCAGGCTCAGCGCCATCTCTGAGATCTGGTTCGCCAGGGGCGTGCCAGACAGCGACGCCTGGTCGCTGAAGAAGCTGAAGGCCTCCTCGGCTGCCCCCGTCCCCCTCTGCTGTGCCAGGGACGAAGCAACCACGTTGATGCCATGCAGCTCTGAAGGGCTGTTCCACACGCCAGGGTTCCCCAGCGCAGCTCCAGGTGCCTGCTCAATGGCACCGATCTGGTGCACACCCAGGCTGTACGCATCCATGCCACAGTTGAGCCCGCCATGGACAATGTCTTCGCTGCCATAGCCACTGTACCCATCCACAGGCTGTCCCCTCATGGCCCTCTGGCCCAGTGCCTCTGCCTCGAGGTCCATGAACACCTTCTCCGCGAGCTCCCACTGCCCGTGCTCCCCCAGAGACTTCAGCAGGGCGCTGTAGCAGTACGCATTGGGCTCCACACCGCCAAAGTCGGTTTCAGCCATGCGCCTCAGCAGGACTATAGCACGCTGCCACTGCTGCGCCTGGCCCAACGAGTTCAGCAGCGCTGTGTAGGTCCTCACATTAGGGCGCACTTGGGACTGAAGCATCCAGCTGACCACCTGCTCGCTCTGCTGCCACTGGCCACCCGTGGCCAGGGCGCTGATGAGGGCAGTGCAGGACACAACGTCCGGCTGGATGCCGCACTGCAGCATCTGCTCGAACAGGGCACAAGCACGCTGCCAATCACCGCCAGCGGCACACGCACTGATGGCTGCCGCAAAGGCATGTCCTGTGCAGAGGCAACAATGTTTAGGTGGACACAGAATGACACTATGCCAGAGCCAATTACCACAGCGCCAAAATATGCATCTGCAGTACTTAACACATTTCCCCATCCAAGGCTGAAGGAAAAGTCCATCCTCCACAGCCCACACAGCACAGCATGCACGATGTTGAAAAACTCTGCTGACTGTTGTGCACGTGCATGAGCCTACAAGCGCAAATCCGCTGTGATAACACAAATCTGTCGACAGACGGTGCCTTCGGTACATTTCAGCTTGCTGCAAAGACCATAGTTAGGCACACCGAGGCCTAATAATGGCTGAAGGTGGCAAAACCCCCACATATCTACCCATCCGCAACTTGGTCAAGGCCGAACAAAAGCCACATGTGCTGTGTGTGATGCCCACATGGATGAGCAGGCATGTCGACATGGCCCTGTGGACAACTGCAGAGTCACCCCAACTGAAGAGTGGATTCCCATCAACTACACCAGCAATGCTATGCCCTAGAGTTATTTTTGTCTGTTGCTGTTTCGACAAAGACAAGATCGCATCCTACCTGACGCTTCGACACCTGCAGAGCCCATATCCTGCCATATCTCCAGAGCCTTCTGCCATTTGCCACCTTCTGTTGCTGCTCTCATGGCCGCTGTGTACGCATGCACTGTTGGTGCCATCTTGGAGTTGGCAGGGGCACCCCTCATCCTCTGATACATCTGCAGGGCTTTCTCCATCTGCCCAAGGCGGGTGCAAACCTACAGGATGGCAAATGGACAGCTGGTCAACAGAAGTGGCTGACAAGGCACCACAGGGAAACACAGACGAGAAGTTGTCATGAAGACAAAGAGCAACAAACAAGCATTGACAGAACAATGCAATTAAAGGATGCCAGTGCAATGAACAAATACAGCAAAAGCACCCAGAAACTAAACAAAATATGAGAACCAGCTTGTTCTGCTGAAGAACAGAACTCAGATGTCACTGAACCCAACAGCAGAATCTTCTGGAAACAAGTACAGCAGTGCAACAATGTGGAAACGAAAACCACAGGCAGGAGCAGGGACCTACCTCGATGTAGGCAGTGCACAGGCGGCTGTCAGGCATGCACCGAGAGTCCTCCACATCGTTCCATATCTGCAGAGCCTTCTCGAGCACATTGCCAGCAAGCGCCGCGCGCATTGCAGCTGTGTAAGTGTAGACAGAGGGGCACAGACCTGCACCACCCTCCTGTGGTAGAGCTTTCATCCACTCGTACACGCCCAGGGCGCTGAAGGTCTGGCCGTGCTGTCCGCACACGCGGATCAACTGCTCCCAACACAAACGATCAGACTTAGCAGTCGCCAAAAGCAGTGGCACACCAACAGCGATGCATGAGCAGCAGGTCATCGACACATCCCAAGAACTGGAAAGCACGACCAAGCTTGGTTCCCAGCGCCACCGGCAATCTACAGATCCCAAGAACTGCAAACCTAGCAGCCCAGTTCCTCAGCCAGGAACGCATAGGAGCCAGTGAAGCTCAAGTAACACGCACTGGGCACATCCCAAGAAGCGGAATGAAACAGGCACTCGGAAGCACGGTTCCTCAGGCGGGCACACTACGCAGTCATCGTGATGGGACAGTGCACAGGACGTGCCAGCACACAGGCTCGAGCCCAGGCCTCTTCTTTCCGCCCGCGATCGGCGCGCAGGCCGAACTGACAGCGCCCACCGTGGTGCACAGCCTGTCGTCAGGGATGTGGCCGGCTTCGACCAGCCACTCGTGCAGCAGCAGCGCCCGCCTCCAGGTGGCCTTGTTCCGCCCGAGCTGCGATACCAACTTGTCCAGCTCCCTGTTATCCAGCAGCCGCAGATCGACGCGGTGGTGCGGCGGCAGCTGCACGCCCGCCTCGGGGTCCGTCAACTGGTAGAACTCGGCGGGCAGCCGGCGGCTGGGCGTCTGCGTCACGGTGGTAGTCACCTGCGAAACCGCGCCCAGGGGCGAGAGTCAGACAGGTCGGCGGGGCGGCGATCCGCATCCCCTATTCTGCGCCGCCGCGGGTGAGAGAGCGCATGCCATCCTTCAGTCACGGCGCGGCCCGCAGAAAACGCGCCGGCGAGGCGTGAGAAAGGCGAGCGTGGCGGGCGCAGGTCCGACGAACGTACTGCGACAGCAAGGCGAAATCGCTGCCCGCGCCGATCGGCTCGATCGCCCTCGGGCGGCACAGCCTTTTCTCTCGGTCGGGATCGACACACAAAAAAACGCGCACGCCGCTCCGCCCGGCGCCCACCGGTTCCGCGCTCCCCATCATCCCAGAATCCCCTAGGTCACGGGTGCGGCGCTGGCGCCCAGATCCCGCAGCACGGCCATCAGCCCAAGCTCCCACCTTCCCCGGCCCCCTCACCCCCCACAAATGGCGATTTCCCCCCCAAACCCCAGCCCCCCACCTTTTGCTCGAAGGCCTGCCTCTTCGGCGCGATGACCCTGTCGCTGGTGAGGGCCGCCGAGACGGCGATCGCCGTGGGCGACCCCACCCGCCGCCCATGCGCCACCGCCCGCGTGAACACCGCGCTGTTCCTGCCATTTGCACCGGTGTACAGGCCCCGGCCAGCCGGCAGCCGTGACTGGACGCCCCCGGCGCCGAGCGTCTCCGGCAGCCCCCCGCGATTGGCGAGGGCCATCCCCTCCCTCCGGGCGGCCCCCCGCTCAATTCAGAACCACGGCGCACGAAACGCCGCGCCGAAAAATCCGCCGGCGGCAAATGATGCCGCGCGGCGGGCGCTCAGCCACGGATCCAAAATCAGCGGCCGGTCACCGGAGAGGTGCTCGCCGCACGGCCCCGCCACCTCTGGGGCGAGGCGCTGCCCCGCAGAAGAAAAAATGGCCGAGGCGGTCGAGGGCGGGGCCCGGCGGCCAGCCGGAGCGCGGGAAGGGCTGCTTTGGCGGCGAGGGGCGGGCGGCCGGGCGGGGCGCGCCCTTAGGAAGGCTGTGCTCGCAGTGGGAAGATCCCCCGACGGTTGCGGGCGGCGTGGGTGAAGGAGGCGGCAGGACTCGGCATGACGTAACCACGTGCCGGACAGGTGGCCTGGGGCCAGGGGCGCTGCCGGCCAATCGATTGGCGGCGCGGCCCGGCCGGCGCACCGCCCCAACTGGCGCTCTCTTTCCGCGCCCCGGCGATGACCTTTTTCCCGCCTCAGAAAGGGCAGCCCGGTGCTGACGCCTCCACAACCGCGCCCCCGGACTGCGCCAGCGACGTCCGCGACGACGACCCTCGCCAGTGCCTCGCCAAGGTCGGTTTTTCCGCCGCGCCTGGGCGGTGGCTGCCGCGTCTGAGGCCATGGGCAACGCCGGATCGCTGTCCTTCTTCGGCGGGGGGTGCTTCAAGTTCGATCCCGACCGCGCCGACCCCCCGCGGGTCTTCTCGCGGGACGTCGACCGTCCCCCCGCACCGCTCGCCGCTGGGGAAGCCTCCAGCGGGGACTACGATCGCCGCCCAGCGCCGCAGATCGACCCGACTGATGGCGGTCAGGGCGGCCGCGTCGATCGGGACGGCGCGGAGGAGGGCGCGATCGCGCGGGCGGAAGCCGAATCCCGCATTGGCTTGATGCAGCCTGCGGGATTTGACTTGGCGGGCCCAGTTGCCGACCTTGAGGACGTGGAGGTTGATGTGGGTTCGGCTGGTGGAGAGGATGATGTCGAGGCTCAGGCGGAGCGCTACGAGCGCGAGACGGAGGCCATGGAGCGCATGGGCACCGCGGAGGCAAGGGATGTCTTCCGCAGGCGCCAGGCGGGCGAGGCGGGCCGCATGCGGCTCGCGGACCTCGAAGATGCGATCCGGGATGCCGAGCGGCGCGCGGCGGACGTCAGGGAGGAGAAGGAGGTGTGCGCAGCGCGGCGGGAGAGGCTGGAGGCGTCCCTGGCCAGGAAGAGGGACGCGACGGGGGATGCGCAGACGGCCGCAGAGGCCGACGGGCGCCTGGGGAAGGAGCTGCGGGGCCAGCTGGGAGCGGCGCGGCGGGGGGTGGATCGCATCAGAGCCGGGGTGGTCAAAGCATCCAACGACGGCAGCCCGGCGACAATCCGGCAGGAACAGCAATCCGGCGGGTACCTGGACTCGATCCTGGAGTCCGAAACTTGGAGCGCCCGGAGGATGGTGAGTGCGCTGGGTGCCAGGGGGGCCAGGGGTGCCAAACGGATCGAGGGAATGAGGAAGGAGAAGATGGCGAGCGAGGCGAGGAGGGATGTGCTCAGAGCAAGGCTGAGGGGGGTTGAGGATGAGCGGCATTGGGTGGATGGGGAGAATGCGGCCCTGGCCGCCAAGGTGCAGGTGGGGCGCGAGGCGAGGGAGAGGGTGGACGAGGTGGAGGCAGCCAGGAGGGTGGAGGTGCTGCGGCTGCACGCCATGCGCAAGGAGCTGGCGGCCAGAGTGCCGGAGATGGGCGTGGCGTTGGAGGCGTGCAGGGAGGGCCGGGGGGCCGCGTGGACCGAGCTGCAGGCCACGCTGGAGGAGATTGGGGAGAGCCAGCGGGGGGTGGCCGCGGGGAAGGCCGGGGGCGGCGGGAGAGGCGGCGCGGAGTTCAGCATCGGGGCCGATGTGATGGACGTGGATTGAGAACGGAGAGCAGCTGAGAGGAAACGCGCTTTTGCTGAGGTTGACGGGCCCAAAGGCTAAAGTTCTGGGAACGCGAACGAATATGAAGGAAAATCCTTACAGGCAAAATGAGAAATCGACACACTCGTCATGTCATTTGTCTCTGCTGAACTCAGGTGGTCAAACAGCGTCCCCCTGCTGGCGGTCTACAATAACATCATAATAATTGGCAGAAACGGCCCCCCCCACAGCATCAAGGAACACAGTGTACATTCTGGGAATGAGCGAAGAACCCGTGGATTATTCGGTCGTGGCATATTCCGAGTGATTCATGGGTGAGCTCACAACGTGGCTGGGTGACTTCTGCGTACATCCATCGCCGCCAGTCTACTCGGGGCACCCAGGATGCGGCTGCTTCAAACGTTTGCACTGCCGACAAGTGTAGACGTCACAGCGGCAAACAGAGTTGAGAGCGCTGATCGGGACCTTGACATTCCCGTTGGGCACTGCGTTGTTGACGTTCCTCTTCAACGAAACGGGGAGCTTGCGGCTGCCCGATCGCCTAGAAATTTTGCGCTCCTTGGCGGATACATAACCAAACAAGGAGGCTGTTGCGAGTCGTTTTGCACTGCACAGGATTCTACAGAATCCAACAGGACATGGCTGACCATCTACCCACGGCGTTAGTTTCCTTAGTTTGCCACGAGCTGGCAACTTGTCCCAACACTGAAGTGAAGTGCAAGGCATGGGCCGTCATAGGCCCAGACTGTACGAAGGGAGGGCACGGAAGTGGGCCAGCTGTTCCGTCGGTGGGGTGATGGGATGTTCTGATGGTGGGCGGGTAGACAATACTGGGGCAGCGCCAGAGAGGGTCGCAGTTCGCAGGCCTTGCAGGCTGTGCGCCCATGGATCGGAAAAGCTTCTCTGGCTTGAAGAATGCGTGGTGCCGATACCATGCGCAGAAGCCACATCCAAATGTTGAAGATCGTCCAGATGCTCATTGTTGGTTTGAAGCAGAACTTTGCATGCCCATATCAGCAGTACTCCTCATCCGCCCAGAATCAATTTGTGGTCTGCGGCGTTTTCGCCCCAGGAGATGTGAGCGTCTTGAGATGTAGCAGATGCAGGAACCAGGGTTTAAATTCTCGAAGTGGGGCTTCGACCACTTGGACTGCTGCCAAATGTGGAGAAATGCATCAAGACCCAGAGCACGACAACACAGCGGCAAACTTGTGGGCACATGCCATGCGCCCACAGTCTCCTATGCCTTCGTGGCCACTTGGAGCCTTCAAACCATAATGTTCTACATTAATATGGCACATAATTTACATGCCCTCTGAATGCTGTCTCAGCTTTTCACCCGTGCACAAAACTCGCAAAAGTCAGTACTAGCAAAATCAGCGACCCGGGGGCCTGTATGCAAATCCTGGCAGTTCGCAAAACGGGGAACCCAAGAAAACCCCAAGAACACTGCTGCTTTCCCATACAACGTTCGTCCCTCATTCTAGCCCTCTGCCTGCATGCCAACACTGCTGCATGCCCACCTGACGATCAGCATTATCGCTGTGCAGCTGCCCTCGCTCGTCCCTCCCCCTAAACCAAAAATGTCACAAGGGTCGACAGTTTTACAAGTGCGCAGCATCAGCATGTCGAGCCTGTGGATTTTCTCCTGACTGCCGGTCGGCTCAAGCAGGGTCTTTCAGTGAGGGGGCTGCCATCATGTGACCGCCGTGGGGTTATCAGGTCCTGCATGGCGGTCGTGATGGCGATGTAGAACTCGCGGAAGTCTCGTCTGTCCCCTCTATTTCTTTGGATCTCCACGACTTGGATGCCTGGCAGAAGATCGAACACCTCTGCGCTAGCCGTGATGTGGTGCTGCGCCTGATTGCAGTAGAAGATTTTGAGCCGGTCGCTGCCCCTTGGCTCCACACGGCCCCCGACTCCAAACACGGAGACGCTGATGCGCTGCAAGACATCTTGGGCCTCCCCGTAGCATGTGAAGCGTGTGTTCCTATACACTACGGCGGATGAGTCGGCTCATGAATCACTGAAGGACACCAACAACGAAACGCAGCAAAGGACGAACGGAGCTCAAGACTGCAACAGTATCTACCAAGGCGGTGGCTGCAACAATATGTGGCTGTCACCAATATCAGAAAGTGCATGCTGTGAAGCATCCTTAGGACAGACAGCAGCATTCTGTTGCACACCTTCTCGATTGATCAATTTCACCACAGAATGGCAAGGTTACACTCATCCATCTGAGTTATGAAGGATGGATCGATCCGTCTTGAAGATGCACCAAGATGCAGTTAAAGTCCCTGCTCTGAGACGCGCAGAGTCTTCAAGCTGGGACAAAAATACATGCCTATCCATGTTGGCCACAGCAGCAAGGAACACAGCATGAATACAGGGATCCCCATCTTCCTCTGGACAGGATAAATGTGGCAAGGACGGGTCAAAAGTGAGAAGTGGAACTGAATGGGGCTAAACAAAGAGAATGTGTGGCATAAGTTGACCGGGCAATATTTCTTCACTACTGGAAAGTGTAACCATGTGAGATTCGCACATGAAACATATTCTAGACATATGTGCCCATGTGTTAGCCAGGGTGGGACACAAACAAGACACTGCGGCATGTACTAACCTCTGAATGACCTCCTTGCGGCTCTCAAACAGAGTTGACAAATCAAGGGCAGTGCCAATCAGGTGGAAGGCATTGATCTGGCTGCTGCTGCGGCGCAGAGGAGGTGAGTACGGTTCTTCTGTGCTCTGTCTGCCAACTTCCACACGTTTTAACTCCACTGTCTCTAGGAAGATGTCCTCAGCATCTGAACCCCTTGGTGACGGCAGCTCCAGGGGCATCGCAGGGACATAATCTGTACAAGGTCGAAATAGCCAATGCCGCACTTTGAGCAGATCATATGTCGCAATCAATCTGGCCAACTGCCTTCACATCGAAGCCACATTTGACAGCCTTCCAGGGGTCGATGTTTACTTCATTTTATTCAATCCTCTCTTTTGTAAGATTGTGCACATTTTAAACTTGAGTTTCTTCACAGCCATCATAATCAGGAGCTGGGCTTCACAGCATGTATAGTTATAATCAGGAGTAGTTACCAGTGTACAGCACTGGGGTATTCACTCCACGAGTACCCATTGAACAACCGGTTGCACAGCCGCTACAGATGATGCCAAAGACCAAGCAGCTACCACAGCAAGCACCCCAGTTTTCCCTTTTGCGGCAGGCACATTCTCAACATAGCCTCAAGTGCTCACAGATCCCTTACCTCTTTGAAACCAACTGTGATTGTGAATCTCAGGAATAGTAATCCTCTTCTGTGGATCCGGACACATGAGCTTCCTCAGCAAGTCTTGCAACTCAGGCGTCAGGTGTGGTGGCATTTCATAGTCAGCCATGGCGATCTTGTTGAACAATCTTGGAAGACTCCTGTCATCAAATGGCAATTTCCCAGCTGCTGTGACATACAAGACGACACCTACAAAAAAAGTTGGAGTGTAACTGACAGGGCAAAGAAAGCAACATTGGCATCCCTGCCTGGCACACAATAACTGCACAGAATCAGCTGTCTTGACAAATAAAAATGCAGTCTTGGAAACCACGCCATTTCAGAGTTCTATCACTTTCTCTACCACAATCATCAGTTGTGCAACGTCTTTTTCTGATAGATTCTGGCACTCAGCACATGAATTCATACACACTTCTTTGCCATTCCACAGGACACAGATAATCCATAGATGCGATGTTCTCAAGTATGGTTTCTGTTCCAGGTATCCCAGTGGACAAGATCCAGATCAATCACAAGCAACAGAAGTACCATATATACATCTCCATGCTTCAGGATTTTGGCATAAACAATTACTTTGCTCCAGTGATTGCACAGCTGCAAAACCCAGGTCTCATTCTTTAGGCTATGAGTAGCACCCAAACTCTTCAATACGAATTCTTCCCTGCAAAGATAGCAGCATCAGGGAGCACTTGCCAGCCGGGCAACTAACTTAGGCTCACCTAGAGACCAGATGTCCGCTGGTGCCCCATGGTATCCTCGTCTCTTGAGGACCTCTGGGGCGACGTAGTTTGGTGTTCCACAAGTTGTCTTCAGAAAACCATCGGAGGACATTGACTGGGTCACAGTAGCAGCCCCCAGCCCAAAATCGGACAGCTTCACGCTGCCGTCACTTGACAGAAGTACGTTTTCAGGCTGCAATAGTCAATAACAGAACATTCATTAGAGACATCAAGGTGTTAGCACAATCATTGTGGATTGCCACAGACTGCATGACATAGTCACGCAAATGATTGGACAAACTCTAGTTACATTTGGTTACCATACTCAATGGAGTTGTTTCCTTGACTGTCTAAGTCTACAATCGAGCAGTACACATTTGCCAAAGGCAGTTGTAGGTGCTTTCTGCAGCCATGAATCGAGTGAGGGTCGAATGCTGCAGTGCATGTGCACGATCTGGCCAGTGACAAGGCTGTAGTGCCATACAGGGAGCCCAGACATGCCCCCTCAAGATATCCAACCATGAATTGCCATTGTTTGACAATTTTGGTACATGTGGAAGCACTCCAGAAAACACCTTCCCTCAGCCCATGAACTCACCTTCAGATCTCGGTGAAACACCCCCTCCTGGTGGCAGTATTCCAAGGCATCCACAAGCTGTTGAAACACCTTTCGAGCTTTGTGCTCTGTCATAGCACCTTCTGCAGCGATTTTGTCAAACAACTCTCCACCTGTCAACAGCTCCATCACCATGTATATCTTGTCCTTGGATGCCATGACCTGAACCACAAGACACAAACCAATCGATCTGACAGCATTTGTGGAACAAGACCAGGAAATGCCTGTGCACATGCAAGGCGATGTGGGATATTCTTCTCTATCTGCAACTATCTGTACCATTGCACTTGCAAGCAAGGTGGAAAATCTGAGAGCATATAAGGCCTAATCTTGCTGAGGATTGATCAGTAATGGCGAATGGGGACCCAGGCAGCAACTGGGACACCCACTGCTTGTCGTCTGAGGATTCTGCGCTTGCTAATCCATGTCGCATGAAATCCATTTGAATATAGTTTCCAACACATGACAAAGAAACCTAACCCCAAGAACATCGTTCATTTCAAAAAGCCTGTTGTTGGTTCTTAATCACAAAAACTGGAATTCATCAGCTGCACCATCATGTCTTCCTTGTAGCAAATAAATATTGAGGCCAATGGACAGCTAATGGCTCGATAAACATATCTTTCTTGCGCAGGGTTTGGCTGCCTGTCATGCTTGTCAGGAAGGCGCCCGGTCGACCCCACGTGGGTTAGATTGTGAGTGAGCAAACCTCAATAAGGTCGACGACGTTCGGGTGCTTGAGATCTTTTGTTATGGCGATCTCCCTCTTTATTTGCTCCACCATCTCATCCTCGATGAGGTCCTTCTTGTTCAAAATCTACACAACCCAAAGCCACAAGGCAGTCGTCACCTCTCGTTCCCTGCCCGCTTGTCTCGTCTTCGCATCATGGCTCGGATTCCGAACTCATGTTACTCAGGAGGGGTGCGCGACAAGTTTTGGTCGCTGGCATCGGCGAGCACCATTGACCGCTGTGGCCATATGAACGAGCCGCGTGGGGAGGCAAATCCACGAGCACAGGATATTTCAACTCTCCTGTGGCACTGCAACGTTTCACACGGCGCCAAGCAGCCCGTCGGCCACCCGGGCCCTCCCCCGACGTCCGCCCGCGAGCCTCAATGCCCCACAAAGCGCATAAAGTACTGGGACAAATCCCTGGGCGACCCCGAGGCCGCCCAAATGGCCCCGCGCGCAGAAGTCTGCCCGTGCGCCCATTGCCCCGCAGCCCGCGCCCACCGCCAGCGCCTTGCAGGTTCCGAACACTCCCCTTTCGCCATTCTCACCTTGATCGCCACCCTCTCCCCGGTCCGCACATGCTCCCCGTACTTCACCTTGGCGTAGGCGCCCTGCGGGGCCGCAGCGCCCGGCTCAGCGACCCGGAAAACATTTTTCAGGGCGAATCTCCGCCGCCATGAGCCCGCCAAGCTCGCCGGGAGGCCCGCCAGCCCGCGCCTGACGACGCCATGAACCAAATGCCGGGCGGCAGGCGATGTCACGCTTCACAAGGGCCGGCAATTGGGGCCCACTGCCGCTCCCACGATAGCGCCGGCGCAGTGCCGCCGCACTGGAGTCGATCAATCGACCCCCCGAGCGCCCCGTGGCGCCGGAGAATGGCCCAATCCCCACCTCTCCGATCGTGCGCCCAAGGTAGTAATCCCCGACTTGCTTGCGGAAGGAGCGCCGGGGTCGGCCCGTCATTTACCGCCGTCCGCCGCCACGGCCGGGAAGGCACGGCGAGAGCGAAGACCACCGCGCGGGGCCTGGCGCCGGGGGACCAAGCGCGGGGGGCGGGTTCGGGAGCCGGCCTGCCGATCGACGTGCCCCTTGGTTGACCGGTGGTGAGGCGGCGTGGACGCAGGCGCTGGTCGGGACGGACGGCGCCCAAGGGCCACCCAGTCACACGAATCTTGGCCGAATCGCAAGGGCCAGGGCAGGCTGACGTCAGGACGCTGACTTTGAGGGCCTGGCTCGCCGTCGTGCCCTTTTTGCGGGCCGCCGTTTTGGCGAGGGCGTCCCAAGTACAGACCCCAGACCGAGACCTTTCCGCTGGACAGGATGCTGTTCCCGCCCGAGTCCTCACTGGGCAAGTGCGCTACAAATACTGTATAGCGCAGAATTTTCTAGGACAAAATATTTCTCGCATTTCGTGAGAAACTTCAGGGAGAAACATTTTCGCAGACTGGCACGACTAGGAAAATCTTTATCCAACCATGTTTTCTTCTCAATGAAAGTTTCCCCTGCGCAAACATTTTTATTGCGCAAACTTTTATAGAACAACTCCAAACCAACACGGCTTGTCGCACCTATGCATTCGTCACTGGCAGTTAGTGCAACGACACCGGAAAATCGACCCGCTCACGGAGAGGCGCATGGTTGCGGGAAAAGGGCCGATGGCGCGATGCTGGACCCCAGTTCGGTAGCTGCTTCCATGCAAGAAAATGTGAATGATTAAGCGGGGGGCAATGGCATATGGGGAGCACGGTCGGCCTTGCCACACTCATCCCCCACCACGCACCTTGGTCTAGCCACCAGGGTTAATCCAGAGGTTAACAATCCAGAGATTAACTATCCCTTCAAAAATCGACCCGCTCTGGCATGGTTTTCAGTCGATGTGCAGGCAATGCGCTAGCCACAGCGCCCGATCGGCCAAGATGGGCCTCCTCGGTTGAATGACCGGCGGGTTGTCCG